CTGGCAATCTTCATCAAGGATTTTGTTAAACTGCTTATACTATGAATTGCCCCTACTACAATACAGATTAAATAAAAACTATATAAATTAGGGGGAAAGATGACACTTGTCTTCATTCCCAGAGACAGCATTAAGTGTCATTTTCCAGTTTCTCTAGCCTTGCACTATGAGTTTTCCTCATGTAAAAAGGATTTATTCATCTACCTAATGCACAATGTTCACTTTTCTGCACAGACAGCTACATCTTACATTCTATCCAATAGAACAGAAAGAACTGTATTGATGCTGAGATTTCAGTCTTCTCTTGGGTCTCAGAGAAAACAGAGCAAACAGGTTTCTTCTATTTGCTTCTTTCCCATTAAGAAAACATGTAAAATTAAAAGGGAGGGAGGAGGACTTCTGTAGCATACCATGAACTCTCTCCTTTTGGTTGATCCCCAAGCCTCCTCTAGGTTTTTAAATCCCCTTTCTACTTCTCTTATTTTTTCCTTACTTATTCATATTTCTTCAACTTCATAGAAGACTTTAACTCCAGAAAATCAAATCTTATTTTCCTCTATGTCAGCTACATGCATAGGAACACTGAGTGCATAACTTATCTGTTTATACAGAATTAATGTCTTTATATACTAACAGATATGAGGTACCACAGATGGCATGTGGATGGAGCTGTGCAATATCATCCAACCACAGAATCTGAAACTGCTGAGACTACTTCCAATGCTGTTTTAACTTGAGATTTATTACATTTGTGTATCTAATAACATAAATAAAAGAGGCATTTTTAAGAGGAAAAATCAGAAAGCTTTTACTGCTTAGAAAGGAAAAGGCCAGATCAGAGGGATGGATCATGAAATTTGAGGTTCCCACTGCAAAACAAAAAAATTTGGTAGGATCCACATATTTTGTATTTTCATAATTTTAAAAAATATGTTGACTCAGTTTATCTTCATGTTCCACCAATGCTCTTTATAACTGTGGTCAATCCTCATCTATTTGAATAAGGAAGTGTACCAAAGACTCTGTAACATGCTGTGATTTGCTGACTTAAGATCTTGCAAGAGCTAAATCCCTGCAGTAATAGCATTGTCTTAAGTCAGTAATACTGTAAACCCTCTAAATGCAGTTCTGATGCTTAGAGTGTTCCTTTCTACTGTCAAAATGGTGCCTTTAAATAGGCAACTTCTGAGTTAGACTGTTTCAGTTTGGTGGTTCACTTGCTGAAAAACCTATTTGGTCATTTATTTTTTGTTAGGGTTTTCTTTGCCTAAAAGTAAGATGCCCAAAACTCCAAAGGTCCACAAAACCTGGCAATTTGAGACTCATTCCCAAATGGTGTACAAATATTTAAATTTTATTCACCTTCTTTGCACTCCTTCCAAGAGGCAAGCAGTGAATACAAGTATGTAATTAACACAATTTCATTATTCATGCATATAAGAGTACTTATAACATTCAATCAACTAGGCAACAGAATTACATTACAGAGAAATCAACATACAAAGAGACCAAGCATTTTATTTTTATCCTATGTGGTAAAGCAATCTAGAAAGAATGGAGTATGATTGAAGTATTAATCTATAGTGGTCAGGAAACATAACTAAAAGCAATCATTGTAAACATTGGCCTGAGTGTTAAGTGAGTTGTGGTAAAGCAAACCATGTACTGAAGGAAATGAATATCATGACATCCTAATTCCTTGAACTAGCAAAAAAAAAAAAAGTTTAAGAAGTTGATTTTTTTTTCCCCAAGTTCTTTTTCCCAGACAGCTGAGAAAGCACAAACAGACAAACAGGTTTTATAACATAAATGTACATGGCATCTAATGTGCCTGTTTGCTAATTTAACAATTTGTGTTTAAAAGACTTTGTATGACAAGAATGGCAATTTGTACAAAAAAAGTCAGATGCAATTACCTTATAATTATATATGTTCAGTATAGGACTAGAGGGCTTAGGAAATCCTGTATGTACCATTTATTGTCACAGTCATGTCTCATGATGAGACCCTGCCTGTACCCCTCAAGTTTGAGTGCCTCATCTGTCTTACCTGTGACAACATAAAAAAGTTGTTTCCTTACATTCACAAAGTCTGCATAGTAAAAATTGCCAAAGAAGCATTAAATATTCAGTCTTCCCTTATTTACATTGCTCTGTCTTCCATTCTCTTGGGACAATAGATGGCAGCAAATCTGTATTTGGGCAGTCCTTGTACATACAGTGCGCACAGGAGGCACTCCTAAGTGGTATAAACTTTAAAACAGTTTGAATAGCAATCGAACTTTCTTGAAAGCCTTATTTTTTTCAGCCGGGAAAAAATGATGTCAAGTCATTTACACTGGCTAAAGGGTAAACATGCATTTTATAATGGCCTAAATTAAGCCTATGATTCAATGATATATACATGTGTTTGCAAATGCATTAATAAAGTATATATGATATTTTTTTAAAGGCACAATCAGATTACAGTAGTTGATAGTTTTAAAAAGAAAAAGTGTCCTGGATAAATGTAAGTTGCAGTAAAATCCATCTCTCAGAGCTGACAGAATGGTGAACTTCAGTGCAAAATATGGCCAAACATTTAAGAATTTGCTTAAAATAGAATACTTAGAGGGATGGTTAAAGTTCTCCTTTCATATTCCTCTGTCTGCTGGGTTGCATGGGTCCCTTACCATGGAAGTGGTTGTATGCTAATGGTGTGTGCAGGTGAGGACTAGATCAGCTACCGGCATAAATGCATAGAGAACAGAACATTAAGCAATAATTACATAGAAGGTGGAGAACAGAGGCGTGGTAACAGACTTGGGAGGAGTCTGCCAACAGCAAAAAATACCATAAATTAATATAAAGGTGCCTAAAATTACATTTGGACAAAAAGTGAATCTCTGCAGCTGAGGGAGGTATTCGTTGTGTTTGTTAGGTTTGTTAACATAATACAAATAATATCCAATTACCTTAAAAATGGTGATTTTTACTTTCTCCTCTCCACTCACCAGGAACTTCCTCTGTATTTTCCATGTCATAATCATGTAAAGGGGGTTGGCTAGAGGTAACTGGTCTAATTGTTTGGTGCAACAAAAACGAGGTCAAAATTCAACCAATACATTTTATTCAGCTTATTATAGGTGCAATATTTGTATTCAATATTAAAAGAATAATATTTGTATTTCTGATCTTGAAGCTTTCTAAATATCAAAATGACTTAATGAGTAGGTTTTACTTGGGGTAAACTTAATTTTCTTCACAGTGGCTGGTACAGGGCTATGTTTTGGATACATGGCTGCTGCATGGTATTTGGTTGCTGACTGAGGTTAAACCACAACAGTTGCATAATGGCATGAGGGCCAACAAATGAAATATTTTATCAAGTGTTTTAAAATAGACAGAAAACCAATGACTCAGAAAGTCAGAAAGCAATTTTCTCATTAGAACCCTGATCTAAAAGATACCGCATCTGGACCTGAGAATGTCTTAAAATGTGCTGTCTTCTGTTTGAATATCTTGATACAGTTTAATATATGCAGTGCATAATTTCAAAATGTATAAAGGTATGTGTGATACTCTCTGCAGAAACGCTGTATTTTGATAGGATCTCACTCTGAGATTTCATCTGAATAAGATGAATGATGTGTATATTCACTTATACTTTGGATTATTGGCCATTTTATCAAGTACTATACTTTACTATGCTTATTGATACATGGTGGCACCTAAATTATTTGGAACTGTAGGCTATCAGAAAGTTTGAAAATCATCCTATATTTCAGCAAGCATACAGATTCTGATCCTAGTGCCTCTTTTTAAATGTCTTTTAAAGTTAGGGAAAAAGAAAATAAAACTTTTAAAAATTGCAAAATTGTAAGTGCCATTATTAGAATCAGTGAAGGGCCTGGATTGAACAGGACCATAAAGACCATCAAGTTCCAACCCCCGTGTCTGGACAGGGATATCTTTCACTAGGTTCTCAGAGCTCCATCAAATCTGGCCTTAAAGTCTTCCAGGGCTGCTTTTATAATGCTAAGCCATGATATGAAGCAGCCAGGAATTCTGCTAATATCTGAAGTTTCCAGTAAAATGTTCCAAGATGGATGTGTCTATGTACATGAAAGAGTATATATATAAGAGGATGTATGTATATATCCTATAGAATGTAAAAAGAGGTTTTATGTATCTCATGTCAGATATTACACTTCAGAGAACACATTAATTTCATGGAATTCATTGGTTTTCTAATTGCTAAAGTTGAGGCTACCATGCAGAAACAGACATTTTTGAGGGGGTCTAATAAACTGGCAATGCTGTGAACAGGAGGGACAGTGCTGAGTGGTTGCACAGCATGAAATACAGGAGCACACCCATGGCTGACAGGTTTTGTTCTTACCTCTCCCATTAAATCTGGCTGTTTGTACCTAAACCATTCCAAAACCAGTCTGACACCATGTTTTAAGCTTACTGGAGAAAGATAAAATCTTAAGTATCATTTCTGATTGAAAGACCCTGCTTTTTGTGTACTTGGTGTAAGGGACTAAGGGAATTGGCACCGTCCCCACTAAAGCTGTGTTCAGCCAATATCTACAAGCTCATCAAATCAGTTTATGGAGCTTCCTTAGTGTGGTTTTATGCTTCACACCCATCTCTGAAATATGTGTGTCTAATGAGCACATTTAGGATGACCAGTAAGAGTGCCTTGGCAGAGGTTGAAACTCAAGCATCTTAAACACAGTCTGTGTCTGTATAAGGGGGAAAGACAAACAGCCCATTTTTTTTTTTTATCCTAGGTCTGACCTAAAAAATTTAAGGACAAAAAGATTTTTTCTGAGTCAAAACAAAGGTGGTACCCCCATTATACCATTCTGTTGTGCTTTAAACAAACAGGAGGATTTGTACGTGTTGGTAGTGTGTACCAGAGTTTCAAAAAGATACAGAACTTTCTGTATGCAGGGATTATGTGCAGATGCATAGAATTATTTAATTTAATGTAATTTCATTTGGGCCTCCCAGCAGAGTCTGCTTTAAAGGATGACTTCACTGAGCGGCTGACTAGTTTGGATGTGGCAAGCAGAGATGAAGATACATGGGTTCTGGATTGCAGACTGGGGCAACCAAACTCATTTCCTCATTCAAGTGAGAAGATCAACAGAAGTGTGTTGCATCTGAGCCTGGAACTGAATGTGAGTAGGACTGTATTCATGCTATACTGGATTTCAACAAGCATTTGTTATATACAGTTACATTTTTGGTATGCATTTATTTCAGGTCAGTCTAAAAACATGTTCCAAAATATCTGACAAACTGCAAAGTTTTGGATGGGATACAGTGTTCCAGATGGTCTGTGAGCCCATATGTCTGTGCAGCTGAGAGCAATTCACATGGAAAATGTTTGAAATTATATAAATTGATTAAGATACATGATGTACCATTTCTAAAATCTTGATGGGTGTTTAGTTTAAATTAGTTGGTTCCTGGAGATGCATTGCAGGAGCAAACTCTGTGTGTGCACCTGTGCACAGGTGCATGTGTGTGTGCTCACGTGCATGTGTGCAGCACTGGGAGCCAGGCTGCTGCTTCCCAGAGCTTTGGAGAAGCTGAACTGGCACTGGAGCCAGACTGGCCATGATCTTGACAGGAAAAGTTTCTCAGCTTCCTGGGGTATGAAACAATGAAGCTTCAGAGGGCAACTTGAGTTCATCATAAGGTCAGGCCAGCTTAATGTAGCTGGAAATCCTTACCGGCTGCCAGAGTGAGCAGTAAGCAGCCTACAGAGACATGTTTTGTGAGAAGGAAAGGGAACAGAATATAGAAGAAGAAGAAAGAAACATAGGAAGGATTGAATGGTTGGAAGAAGTTGCTTTAAAGACTAGATTACATAATACATTTTGTGCAAAGAAACACTAAGAAAAATTTGTGTAAGAGTGACATCTATTGGTGGAAATACAAGAATTGACTTAGAAGTACATTTAGAAAGCTTTTTAATGCTTACAATCACCATTGGTATTCTCTTGAGCTTGTTATAAAATTGATTTTTTGTCCTAACTTTCTTTTCTTAAAATAATTATTTAGAATAGTCTTGTATCAGTGGGAAGGTACAGGTTTGTCCTTGTAATAAATTGCTGAGATGAAAACAACAGAACTGAGAGGAACAGTGACATAGCTGTTATCACTGCTAGAAATATATGCTACAACAAGAAGTATATAGTCGTTGAGGATTCTCTGACTGCATTAAAAAGTCCTTGTATAGAGCAGGAGGAGTTACAAATGAAGGCCATTTTAGAACAACATTTTGAGTAAAATAAGAAATATCTGAGATTAATAAAGTTTCCATCTTACTTACTATTTTTAAAGAAATATTTTATGTCTATAAATATAAATAATTGCACTATAAAAATTTAATAATTTCAGTTTCTTGTAGTTAAAAAGAAAGAATATTTTCCCATTATTTTTTAAATACTCAGAACAAAAGTCTTAATTTCTATTTTATAAAGGGTCCTCAACATGGGCTGATGGACTGTTAGAGACCCACTAAGACACTTTATCCTGCAGCTCACTACCTGTGACTCTCTTTCAGGACAGAATTCTGAGTTGAATTACATAACCCTTGTATCTCCAAGATTATTTTTCTTCTTCAAGATGAGTCCATGGGATTGAAGGAGGAGTTGCCAAAAGAACAATAGTGAGAAGGCTGCTGCAGCAGTTGCTGCCAACAGAATCTCTTTGGACTGCAGCCCTGCTAGAAGTAGCCTGTAAGAAAGATAGTGGCCAAAACCAGGCCACATGGGTTGCTCTGGTGACAACAACCCTTGGGTGTTCCCTTCCTCTTCAGGGTGGGACGTTGCACCCAGATATTGTTTTCCCTGTGCACTCATCAGACTGGACAGCAAGACAATTGTGGTAAAAAAACAGCCAGTGTCTGGAGAGCAATTCTGAAGCTAAGATCATGTTCCCAGGAAATAGCATCTAAAATGGACCAATTTATTTATTCTCAGTTGCACTACACCCTGTCATGTTTTCTATGGCCCTTTTCTGCTTTTAGAAGAAAACCTTTAGCCTGACTGATCAAAAGTTTGGCACTATTGTTTTAAAATGCAACATATTAATAATAAAAACAATATGAAAAAGCTATTTATTGAAAAACTCTGCTTGCTCTGGATTAGGAGCACCCTAACATCAAGGTATGATATAATTGTGTATGTGCATCTGTAGATACAATAGTGTTTGCTTATGGAGTTATAGAGTCATAGAAGGGTTCAGGTTGGAACAGACATCATAAATCATCTAATTACAACTCGCCTGCCATGGGCAGGGACACCTGTCACTAGAGCAGGTTGCACAGGGCCCCATCCAACTTCACCTTGAACACTTCCAGGGATGGAGCATCCAGATCTTCTCTAGGAAGCCTGTTCCAGTGCCTCACCACCATCACAAGCAAAGAATTTCTTCCTAATATCTAATCTAAACCTACTCTCTTTCAGTTTGAAGTCATTATCCCTTGTCCTAGCAATACAGGCCCTTGTAAAAGTCTCTCTCCAGCTTTCTCGTAGCTCCCTTCAGGTACTGAAAGGTACTGTAATGTCTCCTCAAACCATTATCTTCTCCAGGCTGAACAACCCCAACTCTCTCAGCCTGTTGTCACTGGAGAGGTGCTCCAGCCCTCTAATCATCTTCCTGGCCCTCATCTGGAGTTTCTCCAACAGCTCCATGTCCTTCCTTCTACATTCTGTTCCCTTTCCTTCTGCCAAAACAGCTGGATGCAGCCCTGCAGTGGCTCTCAGCAGAGCAGAGCAGAGGGGCAGAATCCCCTCCCTGGCCCTGCTGCCCACGCTGCTCTGGATGCAGCCCAGGGCACGTTTGGCTCTCTGGGCTGGCAGTGCCCATGGTGCCTCGTGTGCAGCCTCTCGGCCAGCAGCACCCCCAAGTCCTTCTCAGCAGGGCTGTCCATCCCCAGCCTGTGTTGATAACAGGGATTGCCCTGAGCCAGGTGCAGCACCTTGCACTTGGTCGTGTTTATCCCCATAATATCCCCATTGGCCCACTTCTCCAGCTTGTCCATTACATTATTGAAAAGATGTAATGTAATATGTTTATATTAGATGAAAGGCAGTAGATAATCTAGATGAGAGGGAGAGTGAATGAATTCTACTCTCTACAATCTACACCAGAAGCATGAAAAAAGATCTTGCATTAGATTTTAAAGGTTAGGCAGGGAGAAGATAAAGAGATGTAGAAGGTAATGAAACAAAATAGAAATGAAACTCCACCCTATTTTTTATACAGCATTTCATCTCAGATAAAAAGCACATTAGTGAGACATGAAAATGCAGCTAAAATTGCAATTTACAGTTAGTAATTACTTAAGAAATTATGGTAAATTAATGCAACTATGTGGATTTTATTTTCTAAAGCTTTTTGTTTAAGCTTTAAACTACTATATCACATTGTAGATGGGGAGAAAAAGGCCTGTTGAAATGAAAAGAAGATGAAAAGAGAGTAACCTATAAAAGGAAAAGGATTAAGAATTCATCTCCATTCTTTGTAACACTAAGTGCTAGCCTTTGTGCCTTAATGTACAAAATCTTCATTAGCTTACTTACACAGTTTATAGTGATCTTCTGTTCCCTGTCTTTTTTACTTGTATGTCTGCTCATATTAACCAGACCCATTAATACATCTTCCTAGAATTTCTGTCTCAGATCTACCACTGCTTTTTCATATGATAGGTTTTACAGGTTAATATTCCATTTATTGATGCAGTATACAGTATGCACTCCTGCAAAATAGTAAACTGAGTTTCTTAATGTGCTTTCTGATTTTATAACTCTGTAGCTATTACAGTGCTTTTTCAAATTCTCTGAAGTAGTCCATATCTCAATGTCAATCAGAATTTAGATGAAAATGTTAAAAAACACTTTGCATTTATACAGGTGGATTTATACAGACACTTTCACCAAATGTGTCTGGTGTCCACACATTCTGTTAACATCATGTATTGCTGAATTCTGATAAGAATTATCGTGTCTATGTTTCTGCTGCTACATCTAAATTAATTATTAAATTTAAAGCAGTTATGTTGTGATACCCAATTCCATCAAAACTCAGGAAAGCTGCTCACATAATGGTCTAAGTGAGGTAACAAGGCCGAGAATAATGATGAAAATCAAGGCCTTATAGTTATTCTTCTATCTTCCCTGCCTCTCTTCTTTTAGAGCATTTAACAGGTTAAAATACTAAGTTTAAAATGAGGTAATCAGCAGGAGAGCAGGGGAATGTTCAGACCATTATCAATCTGCACAGTGAAGGTTAGGCTGAGGACAGGGCAGAGGGCAGACTGTGTCAGCTGAACTTCAGATCAGTTCAAGCCACCTGAGCTACAAACAGAGCCTGCTGCTTCTCGTGGCTCTTCTGAAGCCTGATGCAATTGGTCCATATTTGATTCCATTATTATTTTCAAGAAGTTATGCAAACTTTTATAGATTTGGGGTTCTTAATTTTGAAAAAAACAGTAGAATAAATGTTTTCAGTTTAGCAATCTTGCTGTTTTGTAGAATGTCCTTCTGTCCTGTTCATGTTTATCTAGTTTGTTACTACAGTGATCTGAAAAGGCAATCTGAATAGATAAGGGGTCAGGAAGTGTTGAGCCCTGCCATATGATAGTGGTAGAAATTAGATTACCTTATTCTAGCTTAATGTGTGTTTTCTTCAAAGCCAGTTTTAAAACCTACTCCAGGTGAGCTTTCAGACACCTCAAGAACAGAACTAGAGTGTGTTGTGGGTGTGACTTCTGTCTGTGATGAAATGTAGGTCAAAAAGGGTGTGGACTGTTAAATGTGCTTTAAACTGTAAGGAATGGTTGTCCTTTAGTATAATTAGTGCATTGACTGCCTTGAAAGTTGCTATGACAGGTTTTAAGGGCTTTTCTGAGGCACCACAGAGTTGTCAGTTTTATTAAGTAAAGAGGCTTGTAACATAATTATAACTGATTTTTTCTGAAGATTTTGAAGTTGTTCCTTTAGATGCAGTGTTACAGCCTGTTCAGACTTTCCTTATGAGATAGATCCACCCAGCATTAAAACACTTCTACCAACAAACTGACTCCATCTCATTTTATATCGCAATGATTACCTCTTTTTAATATCAAAATTTGTAAGGCCACATACTGATGTAGGTATTTTACCCA